CACTGAGAGCTCAGCCTGTGTTTTATTTGTCTCTGTATCCCTCTATATCCCATAGTGCTTTGCATATAGTAGGCATCAAATAAAATTTATTAAAATAATGTGTGTGTTAATCAGACACTGATAATTATCATTTCCTGTCTCTTGAGATTTTGTGCCCTGGCCAGTTTGGCTCAGTAGTTAAGTGTGTCAGCCTTTGGACCAATGGGTCTCAGGTTTGATTCCCACTCAAGGGCATGTATCTGGGTAGCAGGTTCGATTCCCAGCTCTAGTTGGGGTTGTGTGGGTGGTAACCAACCAGTCTGTCTCTCTCACATTGATGTTTCTCTCCCCAACCCCTTCCATTCTATCTAAAAATCAATGGAAAAATATCTTCATGTGAGGATTACCCCCCCACCCCAAAGATTTTTGTGCTTATCACCCAGCCACCATGCTGTGAGAAAGTCAGAGTTTCCTGTGAAAGAATCCTCACATAAAGACCCAGGTGGAGCTCAGCTGGTATGGCTCAGTGGTTGAGCGCTGACCCATGCACCAGGAGGTTGCTGGTTCAATTCCCCATCAGGACACATGCCCAGGTTGAGGGCCAATTCCCAGTGGGGGACATGCAGGAGGCGGCCAATTGATGTTTCTATGTCTCTTTCTCTCCCTCTAAAATCAATCAAGAAAAAAAGACCCACGTGAAGAACTGAGGGCTCTGGCTTGGCATCTACCTGACAGCTAGTACCCCCTTGTCAGGTCTGTGAATGAGCCACTCTGGAAGCAGATTCTTTAACACCCAGTGGACCTACCCCAGATGATACCATGTGAAATAGAAATAAAGCTTCCTCACTGAGAGCAGCCCATACTGCAGATGCATGATTTGCTTATGTCACTACGTTTTAGGTGGTTTGCTGTATAGCAGTAATAACTGGAATACACTTGAATGAAAAGAAAAACATTATGTTATTTTCTTTTCTTCTAAGATGAAAGTAGACAGTTGATATACCTAGCTTAATGAGCACATTATTAATCTCAATTTAGTAAAGAAGCTATACTGGAAGAGGGAAGAATACAGTCATTAGAGAACAAACTGGAATCATAAAGAAGAAAAAAATGACAAAGCAATTTCTCAGGTTTTCAGCACTAGGGTAACTAAAGTAAAAAGCATGCTACTCTGCAAAGTAATATAGGGTTGGTCACCCCTCAAGGAGCTAAGAGACCCATTTTAGCAATCTGATTTTTATAACTGGAATTCTTTAGTCTAGTTTCTTATTTTTATAATTGAAAAAACAAGACAAAAAACCATGAAACAACTAGAGAGGCAATGTGACCAGGTTATGCAGATTGGGAATCCCCAAGGTCTGCCATTATATCCAACTACTTTAACAGAGTCTTGCCTTGAATCCACAGCCTTTAAAACTGCCACCTCCACCTACAGGGGTGAGAGCATAGGACAATGGTTCCTGTTATATAGTAAAAAAAGCATCTTTCCTACCTCCCATGAAAAAGCATAATATTCCTAGATTTTCAAGCAGAAGTCCAATCTGAGAGCCATAAAGATCAAAGTATAAGAGAAAGAAAAATCAAATCAAGGGGATGAGTGAAGCGATAACTCAGTCACACTTCACTGAGGATGACTAGAGTCATCAATTCAAAAGTAGTTTCATGGAAAGTGCCATTTGAAGAAAGCAGACTAGAAGATAATGAAGAATGGTAATGGGAAGAGTATATCATTCTTTCCCTTCGTTTCGTTTATCAAATACTTAAGTTGGTTTTAGACTGGCAAATTCCACAAGTCTCTAACTAGACAACCAGAAAGAATTAACTAGTAAAGGCTTTACCCTTCTGTTGGTTACTCACTTATTTCTCTCATGGAAAGTAAGGCCTTGACATATCAATTGTTATACTCCCATGGAGGACAAAGTGCCTAAAATGCCAAGAACTCTGGGATGCTTTTATTCATACCTTGGAGATGATAATATTTGTTTCCATATCATTTTATTGTTTTATTAAAATGCGCATATTCAGCCCTGGCTCAGCAGTACAAGTGTCAGCCTGTGGACTGAAGGGTCTTGGGTTTGATTCCTGGGTTGCAGGTTTGGTTCCCAGCTGTGGTTGAGGTCATGCGGGAGGCAACTAATTGATGTGTCTCTCACATTGATCTCTCTCTCTCTCTCTCCCTCCCTTCCACTCTTTCTAAAAAAATCAATGGAAAAATATCCTCGGGTGAGGATTAACAAACAAATAAACAAATAAGCATATTCACTGGCAAATGAATTTCATCTAAGTACACAAATTTTTATTGTAGTTTCTATGATAAATCAACTAACACTAAACTAAAATTCCCACGTATCCTTTAGGAAAGGATACTACACATAGGAAAGGTGAACATGGCACAGGGACCATGCTGTGTGGCCAAGGAAATAAGACTGTAAAAGGCAGAGCTCACAAAGCTTACAAATTAGAGACGATGATCTAGACTGCCATCATCAGATCAGCATCTCAGTCACAAGTACAGTAAATAATATGTTTCAAATATGTTCTTTAGTTAGCATTTTGGTCCATCCTGAATCTTAGTTTTATGTAGGCTTAAGATATCAAAAGCCAGGTCACAGATTTTTTTTTTTAACACTCAAAGCTAAGTTTCAACATTCTAAAGGTATGAAATAGAAAGACTGAACAGCAAGAAAAAATTAGTTTTGTGTTAACTTGGGTAAAAATGTAATCATTTAAAAAAATTTCAAAATATAAAATTGAGACCACTATTGAGCCCTGGCCTGTTTTCTCAGTGGTTAGAGCGTCAGCCCATGGACCAGAGAGACCTGGGTTCAGTCCCCGCTAAGGGCACATACCTCGGTTGTGGTTTGTCCCCGGCCCCAATTGGGGTCATGTGGGTGGCAACCACTCAATGTGTCTCTCTCACATCGATATTTCTCTCTCTCTCCCTCTTCCTTCCTCTCTCTCTAAAATCAATAAAGGAAAAAAAAATTAAAAAAGAAAAAAAAAAAAAGGAAATGGCTGTTACCTTAAAAAAAAAAAAAAGACCACTATTGAGTAAGGGCCACATGGTGATTCAGTGAGCATATGCCAAGCACATGATAACTTATATTACCTCTCTGATAGCACATGATAGTGGAAGTACTTAGTGAGAAAGCTACTCAGAGCTATCACCAAAAAGGCTGAGACTTGAGCTCTTTATTTTTTATACTTTTTTTTTTAATCCTCACTTGAGGATATTTTTCTTTCTTTCTTTTTTTTTTTTATCCTGATCCGAGGATATTTTTCCATTTTTTGTACAGATAGAGTGGGAGGGAGAGAGAGGAAGGGAGAGAGAGAAACATCAACGTGAAGGGACACATCGAGTGGCTGCCACCCGCACGACCAACCAGGGCCGGGGACAAACGGCAACCGAAGTACGTGCCCTTAGCGGGAACCGAACCCGGGTCTCTCCGGACCGCAGGCCGACGCTCTAACCGCTGAGCCAAACTGGCCAGGGCGAGAGTTGAGCTCTTGACTAAAACACACACTACTTAAATGAAATAACATATTTATACATAAAACTATCATTTCACTAGGCTGAGAGGTTATGATGAAACACAAAATGTTTGCACTTAAAAAAAAAACTTCAGTCCAGCCGGTGTGGCTCAGTGATTGAGCATCAACCCATGCAGCAAGAGGTCACTGGTTCGATTCCTAGTCAGGGCACATGCCCAGGTTGTGGGCCCAATCCCCAGTGAGGGGCATGCAGGAGGTGACCAATCAATGTTCTTTCTCATTGATGTTTCTATCCCTCTCTCCCTCTTACTTCCTCTCTCTCTAAAATCAATAAAGAAAAAAAAAAATCTTCAGATTGCTGAGTCTCGAATTTGTTATGTATCAGAATCACCTGGGACACTTATTACAAATGCAGCTTCTTGGACCCCATTACATTGAATCAGAATCTGCTCCGGCATCTCCACTTTTTAAAGCAAATTACCCTGATGATTCTGATACAAACCATAGCATAAAGTATAAATATTATATAAGCACAATTTATATGTCAACTATTGTTTCTAATATATTAACAGTGTAACTGCTTCAATCTCTCTCTCTCTCTCACACACACACTTTTAAAATGTTGAGGTATACAAGATAATCTTGGTAAAGACAATTACTTTTTTTTTTTTTTTAATCCTCACCTGAAAACATTTTTGCATTTATCATCAGGGCAGGAGGGAGAAAGAGAGAGAGAGAGAAACATCGATGTGAGAGAGACACATCGACTGGTGGCCACCCACATGACCCCAACCGGGGCCGGGGACAAACTGCAACCGAGGTACATACCCTTAGCAGGAACCGAACCTGGGACTCTCTGGTCCGCAGGCAGACACTCTAACTGGCCAGGGCAAGACAATTACTTTTCTTGGCCAGTGTTAAAAGCCTGGATGAATTTAATTTGGGATAGAAAAGGTAAAGAGTTGCATAAGTCTACATTAGTGCATTTGGGAAGGTAAGGGGCTGAGGAAGAGAGAAGTAAAAAAATTTCTTCCACTGGAATTCTCATTATAGAAAAATGAAAACATGATGTCACAGTTCTTCCATTTACTTAGTTTTAAAAATGAAAAACAAATGTAGAAACCTTAATAATTTAAAAAGAATTCAATGTAAAGAAGTTAATGGCTGAGTGCCTGCTCAGGCAGCACACTCTGCGACAGAAGAAGAGGGCTAAAGCCCAGATACGATAGTGGCAGAGCTCACACTTCTAACTGCCACGGTTAAGAAACATGAGGTACAGCCATTGTTGTATATCCAGTTTCAGAAGATCAGGAGTTTCACTCCATTACAACACTTAATTAAGAACGATACTTCAAGGAAAGGCCTTACATGCTGCTATTACTATCAAAAGTATGCAAAAGGTATCTAAGCTGGTAACAAGACCCAGAGATCTAACCTTCATACTTATCCAGGATTTAACACTTCTTTTCTACAATGAATTGGAACTTCATATAAATAGTAAAATAAACCCCAAGAGATTAAATATTTACCTGGTCCCTGTTGTTGATGTTTGAATAAGGTAACTGTCCAGTCATCAGTTCATACAGAACAATCCCAAATGCATATACGTCTGACTGAAAGCTATAAGGGTTTTTATCTTGCATTCTGATTACTTCTGGTGCCTGTTAGAACATAAAAAGGAGTACATTCTTATTTATTCTCGACTTCAACTGAATCAAGACTGAAAACCAAACTATTACGATTCCCAGAAAAATGTTTTTATCATTAAATAACCCATCTAATATGTAATTAATTCTCTTATTAGTGGTCAAAGAAAGAACTGATTAAAAGTAAAAAAAAAAAATGTTCTGTAAACACTAAAAGAGGCAGTATTAGCTGAGATTCTATCTGCATTACTAATATTTTTATAATTTTAGCAGGCTGCCCTCTTTTTACACAAAATAGTCACTGATATTTGAATTCTTCCCTTGACTTACCTACTAACAATCAGTTCTCACTTCCCATTCCTGATTCAGCAAAGAAATACTATACCTGTGGTTGTAAGATGTTTGGGAGTAGCACAACCACTATGGTAAATGCTTTAGAATTTAAGTTTTCCCATTGGTACAGATGATTCTCTTCATCTCAGGGTACCTTAGACAATAATGGTAAAATTTCAAGGCTGATAAACTCAATCACTTTCCTGCCTCCAAAAGTGGTATAAACATGCCAAGGATGTCTTATAATAAAAGTAACAGGCAGTGGGTAGATTTAATAGAAGATGGTATAAAGAATCTTTTGGCCATGGCTTCTTGGGCAAAGATACAGGCCAAATCATATTAGTTACATTTTTATACATTTTAGTCACTGTGTGCTACAGGTAGATTTCTTATTGGCTACTGACATGAAATACAACAAATGGTTAAATATTAGCTTCAAGTATTCTTTCACCTTGAATCTTCTGTATTGTTTCATTTGGGAGGAATCAGAGAAATTGCAGGGTATTAATAAAAACTTTGTGAAAACATTAATTTGATACCAAAATCAGGACTAATTGCAAAAATGGCTGAAAGACCTGGGGCAAGAGTCCTGGTTATTGGTCCGAGTAGATAGGTCAGACTATCTCACAAGGCTCAGCCTCATCTGCAAGTCAGAATCAACTATGCAGCCTTGAACCTCTCTCAAGGTCCAGACTACGTAACATCAGAATCTGGGGGTGCACTGTTAATTTTTAACGCTGCCCGATGATTTTAACGCCCATCCAAAATTGAGAACCACTGATGAAAGGTATGCAGGGGGGAGATCCTGAGGGGAGTGAAAGGACTGGGCTGCAGGAGAGGGTTGTATCTATTTGCTTCTGTCTTACATTTTACTGATACTGCTATTACAGTACAAAATAAACCACATACAACTGTCATATAATGAACAAGCCAGAATACTGAGAGGCTGATTATCATACAGACATAATTTTCAAAGCCAGAACATAATTTTTGTGAGGGACAGAGTAATAAATCAATTGAAAAATTGCCTACAAAATTTAGTTTTACCTCTCTGTTGTTGGTAGATGGCTTGATGAAAAGTTGTATGTCATCTATTTATAAGAAATGCATTATTAATTCTCAATTTAGTGATATAATTTGTAAAACTTTTTTAAAACAAAGATTTCTTTCTCCTCTAAGATATAAATAAAACAAGGCTGAGAAGACTACTGTAAACAATTCAGAGAATTATATAACCATAGTCTGACCAAACTCTTTTTTCCCAGTCTATGGATGTTCTAAATTTTATTCTGAAGGCAACAGCAACCCAAAAGAATTTCTTCAACAATTAAGTGTACTATTGGCTAATCTCTTATCTTAAAATTCAGCCTGGTGAAATAAAAAATGAACTCATCTATCCAGCTATCAACAAAACATGAAACTAGAAGAAAATAAAACTTCATGCATATTAATCTACTAAGGTTTTTGAAAAAGGACAAACCTGAATGAAGACTTGACTGAGACACTCTCTCTCCCATATTAGTTAAAATAAACACACTTCTAAAACATGTATCAATGATTTCTTTCTTTTTAATTGTTTTGCAATTTCAGTACTTAAAAATCTGTTTTCCCCCTTCTTAGGATACACTGCCATCTGTTTTACAAGGTGTGTGCCTTAAAGGTGCCTGAGATCTGCATTACAATGATTAATTAGTTCCTTGTTTAAAATTATTAAAACAGCTAAAAATATATTAACGAAAAAATCTTGCTAGCTCTAATTACTGAAACTTAGAAATATAAATGGCATTAGAAATCCACTAGTCCAACCCACATTAAAGATACAGACTTGGAGGAGGTTAAGAAAGGTGCGGGTAAGAGTCACACAGAGCATCACAGTACACAACTCCGAACTCTAAGTCCAACCCCCCGCCCCCCACCTTGCAACTTGCCCTAATTTCGGTTATTATTACAAGAAACCATAGCTCAATCTAACCCTAGGCTTGTCTTGACTAACTCAGAATCCTACCTTGCAATTCCCTTTCTGGGGCCTGCTACAGAATTTTCAAAGAACGTAGGCCCAGTGGCTCTGAAAGCCCCCTGCAGCTTTTCTGGTTCCAGCAAGGTGTCCTGAAGTGCAGATTCTGTTATTAAAACTGCACTAATAATTCGGGGACATCCTATATTCAGCTTAGAGAAGCAGTTCTCACACTTTTTGGTCTCAGTACTCTTTCAGTCTTGAAAATTACTGAGGACCCCCAAGGAACTTATGTAGATTGTTATCTATGGATAAATAATCATATGAAACTGTTAAACTGAGAAACTTAACTGAGAAACTGTTAAAATATTAATTCTTTTAAATAGTAAAACATCAACCAGTAGATGTTAACATAAATCACGCATTTTTAATGAAAAGTAACTATATTTTCAAAAATAAAAAAATTTAGTGAGAAGAATAGTCCTACAATTCTCTTTGACTGTTTGGTTTAGCAGCAGCCATCTCGAGTCATATATTTGCTTCTGCATTCAATCTGTTGTGATGTGTTGTTCTGGTTGGGGAATATGAAGAACAATCTGGTCTTACACAGGAATGACCTTGAGGAATTCTAAAAGGGTGCTGGGGACCCTTTTGAGAACTACCGGCTTAGAGACTGATTCCTACTGCCTTGTTCATAGCCCGCTAAAGGTAACTGCACAGAAGTTTTGGTCCCCTTCTTTTATATGTTCTCTTTCTTCTTTTATACAAAGCAGAAATAGAAATAGAAAGAGCCATGCAGGGCAGCATAAAGCTGACAGTGTTAAAAATCTACCTCTCATTGTTTTGTCTCTCCTCTCCCAGGTGCCCCATAATTACATGGTTTTTTCTAGTCTAAAGAAAGTAACTATCCAATTTAGGCTTAAATAAAACTGTGAAACAGTCTGTTTCCTTTTTTCTTTTTAAAGATTTTAAAATTAATTTTTTTTGAGAGAGAAGAAGGAAGAGGGGGAGGGAGAGAAAGGGAGAGAGAGAAACAAACATCTATTAGTTGCCTCCTACACACCCCCTACAGGGGAAGGAGCTGCAGCCCAGGCATGTGACCTAACTGGGAGTAGAACCTGAAACCTTTTGGTGCATGGGAGGATGCTCAACCAACTGAGCCACACTGGCCAGGGCAAACAGCCTTTCTCTTAAGAGGAGTAGTTGTCTTCACAAACCTTACTAATGGCTGCAGATCACACCTGCTTAAATTGCATATATTTTTTTTGAAAAAGGGTACAAGGAACATTTGGAACACAAAATATTCTAGAGACAATTTTAAATAAAATTTAAACTGTTTTAAAAAATACATATTTTTTGTTTGAAGGATACTGAAACTAGTTTCATAATATTCTTTTTAAAGATAAACAAAAAAGTTAAGGTCTATTTACATAAAAAATAAGATCAACGTCGACTTTTGTGAATACTGGAAACTATGAAAATACTAGAGTCGAAACCTTCAATGACTTTCCAGTACTCAGCAGCATCTCAGGGCCCAAAAAATTAATTAATGGAAAAAAGCCTCAATTCTTACCATCCACAAAATGGATCCAGACAACTGCTCAAACTGATGGGACCCACTCCATCGAGATTTCACTGTGGCTAGACCAAAGTCACCTATTTTTACTGTGAGGTCTTCATGAAGAAAAATATCTGTGGTGTAGTAAGTAAAGGAAAACAATAGATCTCATTTTCCTATCAGAGCAAGCATTACGAAAAATTTAGATTAGAGATCTAATTTCTATAATTCTGTAATAGGACAGTCTTTTTGAAAAAGTATAGTACTTTTTATTCATTAGGTCTATTTGGCCTGTATGACCTGCTTTTAAGGTTTTAGGGGCTTGACATGTAGTAGAATGAGGTGAGATGCTTTCCTAAGTTGCTGGGAGACCCTGAAACTTCCCCACAAGCTTCAGTAACGCAGCCCAGACACCCTGTGGCAACGCTGGGGAGCGGTGAAGGCTCCTCACTGGGATGGAGGCGGCTGCAGACAGGGTCTTAATCTGAGTTTATAGAAGTGAAAGAATTGTCTTTCTCACCTCATGTTATTGGTAATTTAGAACCTTCAATTACATCTTAACTACTGCTGAGCAAGGTCAGAGTGCTGAAGGAAACCAGTAGATAGCTACAAAATATCTGTTTTATAACACTGATAGAAAGTAAGCAGGCCATCAAGAGCCTTGCTACCATAAAGATTTGAGAGATTTTTGTTGTGAGCCCGATTGTTCAGGAACCAAAAGCAGGTTGTAGTACCTTGCTCTACTACACTCTCATGCAAACCCAGTTATGAATTCTCTTTACAGTACATTGAACTTAGCATGAAACGGTTTTTACATAATGTGGAGACAAAATGCAGAAGAAAAAGTCAGGATGTTTTCAAACTTCGCAGACAAATTTCAGGAAGGATACTATTACTCTTGAGGTCTCTGTGGATGATTGACTTGGCGTGTAAGTAACTGAAAAACAAAACATCATTTTAACCTGAGTAGGGCTAAATACTCTGTCCTAAAAATTTATAGAACATATTTAGGGGTATAAATAAAGATGTATTTAGAATCATGATACAACTATAAACTGTACAATGTGATAATGCCCTTACATAAGAAATATTGAAATAGACTATAAATGAATTTAGGATTAGAGGAACATATTACTAATATGGTACAGCCAAAATCTTGTTTTCTACTAAAAGGCTTTACTTTATCTTTTACTATTTTCCAATACAAACCTTTCACTCGTCAAGCCTATTTATCCATGACCTTTAAATATACTTTAAATATTCCCTCCTACACCCATCCCCCAAATTAGCTTTCATTCTGTTCTCTACCTATTCATACCTATCCTTTAAGATTGAACACACATTCTAACTCCTGAGTGAAGCTTTCCTATGACTAACTCAACTGCAAATGATCTTTCACTGTTCAGTTATATAGAAATTATTGTAACAGCTGGATTCATGTGCTTTTTCACCTACGTTCACTTTCTATTTAGAATGTAAAACTCTACAAAATATGAAGGTTTGATTGATAAAACCATTCTTAAAGGTTGTATTAAACTATTCTTAAAATACCTTCTTAAAACTAGTGAGTAGCAAACTTCCTCTATAACGCCTTTAGCTGAGTTCATTGAGGGAAAAGGACCGTATCTAGTTTAGTTCTGTTTATCCCCAGTGCAGAGTACAGTGCCTGGCATAAGGTAAGTATTCAAAACACATCAGTTGAATCAATTACATTGAGATGCATATAATGTCCTAGTCAAGGTTTTCTTCATGTAATGCTGGAGAAAACAGATATACTTCTGAAATTTGACAATGACTATCAGAAATGTTTCACTTTAAAATGAGACTATAAAATCGCTGTTAAAAATATAAAGTTTGCAAATCATTAAGCTTATAATTTATGCTTTCTCATCTTCATTTAAACTTCCACAACCTCCTAGAGAATAAGATTTTGAAACTTTTTCTTCAGATAATATTTTCATTTCAAATACTGTTTACACAAAGCAACCCCTTCTCCTCCAATTACCTCTTACTTCACACTATGACTCAAATTTCCCAGCTGAAAAAATGGGATGAATATCATACTCCAACCCTCATATCATATAATGTTCAAAAGTAATTACTACACAGACTAACACTAGAACATAATTTTCTAAACACCTACCAGTTATAATGAAGATGCCAAAAACAAACAAACAAACACACAACTGGTTGAGGGTACAAAAGGAAACAAAAATAAATGAACTTTACTTGCTGCAGATGATACACGATACACAAATCTATCCATTATTTAGGACAATTAAATTACCTCTTTCTTACCTTTCTAAGATGTTAACAAGAAACTTCTTATTTTATTTTTATCCCCACCCGAGGACATTATATTCCATTTTTTGTTCAGATAGAGTTGGAGGGAGAGAGAGAGAGAGAGAGAAACATGGACGTGAAAGGGACACATCGAGTGGCTGCCACCCGCACGACCGACCAGGGCAGGGGACAAACTGCAAATAAGGTACGCGCCCTTAGCGGGAACCGAACCCGGGTCTCTCTGGACCGCAAGCCGACGCTCTAACTGCTGAGCCAAACCAGCTAGGGCTATTGTTGTTGTTGTTGTTTTTTTTTAATCCTCATCTGAGGATATTTTTCCATTGATTTTTAGATAGACTGAGAGAGAGAAAGAGAGAGAGGCAGACACTGATTGGTTGCCTCCCGAGGGACCCCGACTGGAGCCGGGAATAGAACCTGCAACTGAGGTACATGCCCTTGACTGGGAATCGAACCCGTGACTCTGCCAAACCGGCCAGGGCAAAACTTACTGATTTACAAAAGTAGTAGGCAAGAAAGAAACATATGCTACAAACCACATGAATATCATTCTCTTAGGAGTCTCTTTCCTTGAAGAAACAATGTCTACCTACAGGATCATTTAATCTTAAAGCTGGGAATCATCTAGTAAAATTTGTTGTCTATGCTGCTTCATTCAAACTCTTATCCAAGATTAAGCTTTTCAACTCTCTTTTTACAGCACGATATGAAACCCCAAAAGTTAATACAGTATTCCAGATTTGATCTGATCAATACATACTAGAGCGAGATTCTCATCTTCATCTTCCCTTGAATGTAAGACCTGAAACCTAAAACTCCTAGAAGAAAACATAGGTGGTAAGCTCCTTATCATTGGTGTTGTAATGACTTGTTTTGGATTTGACAACCAAAAGCAAAAATAAACAAGTGGGACTGCATATAACTAAAAAGTTTCTTCAGTGCAAAGGAAACCACTACCAAAATGGTACAGCAACCTACCAATTAGGAGAAAATACTTGCAAATCATGTATCTAATAAGGGAATATTTAAAAAAATATTTAAAGACTCATACAACTCAATAACAACAACGACAAAAACTCCGAAACAATTCAATTTTTTTTTAATCCTCACCCAAGAACATTTTTCCATTTTTGCGCAGATAGAGTGGGAGGGAGGGGGCGGTGAGAGAGAGAGAAACATTGACGTGAAAGGGAAACATCGAGTGGCTGCCTCCTGCACCACCCCAACCAGGGCCGGGCACAAACCGAATTGAGGCCCATGCCCTTAGTGGGAACTGAACCCAGGTCTCTCTGGACCACAGGCCAATGCTCTAACCGCTGAGTCAAACTGGCCAGGGCACAATTCAATTTTTTTAAAAAAAGGACATTTTCCCAAAGAAGGCATACAGATGGCCAACAGGCACATGAAAGATGCTCAACATCACTACTCATTAGAGAAATGCAAATCAAAACCATGAGATATTACCTCTCATCTGTTAAAAAGGCTATTATAAAAAAGACAAGAAATAGCCCTGGCCTGTTTGGCTCAGTAGTTAGAGCGTCGGCCCGCGGACCAGAGAGGTCTGGGTTCGGTTGCAGTTTGGTTTCAGTTTGTTCCCCAGCCCCCGGTTGGGGTTGTGTGAGTGGCAACCACTCGATGTGTTTCTCTCACATCGATGTTTCTCTCTCTCTCTTCCTCCCCCTCTCCCTCCCGCTCTACATGAAATGCAAAAATGTCCTCAGGTGAGGATAAAAAAAAAAAAACAAATAAGGGTAGAGCAAAGAGAATCCTCGTGCACTATTGGTGGGAACATAAACAGGTGTAGTTACTATGAAAACCAGTATAGTTGATCCTCAAAAAAATTAACAGAATTACCATGTGATCCGGCAATCCCATTTCTAGGTATATATCCAAATGAATCTGAATTAGGATCTCAAAGAGATATCTGCACCCTTAGACTCACTGCAGCATTATTTATAATAGTCAAGACACAGAAACAATCTAAGTGTCCATTAATTGATCAAGTAAATGTCTCTCTTTCTCTCTCTCTCTCTCTCACACACACACACACACACACACACACACACACACACACCCCGTGGAGTATTATCCAGCGATAAAAAAGAAAAATCCTGCCATATGCAAATACATGGATGGGGCTTGAGGTCATTCTGTTAAGGGAAGTTAGACAGATAATGTATGGTCTCACTTATATGTGGAATCTATAAAACAAAAAACAAACTCATCTTCATGTTCCTTATGGTGGGTAAAATAATATATTAAATCAGCCATTATTGTAATTTTTATGGCAGCCATAGTCACTCTACTAACTCCTATTAAAATCACACTCAGTTACAACCCTAGGAAGTTGCTGTTTTGCACCGCTCTTACAAAGCATTTCCCTCACTGTATACTTCTCTTTTTTGGACTCATATTTTATAGACATGGCCTATAATTTCAGCTTATTAAAATTAGTTTTCACAAAAAATGAGTTTTAAAAGATCAGTATGCTAATAATGAGTTATTTGTAAGTATGCTAATCATATTCAATAGAGGAGTAAAAAAAATTCTCCTTCAAGCTTGATAGCTTTAGGTATGAACATTATACAGTTATGAACCTACTTACATTCTCCATGCATGTTACATTTCTCAATCTTATCCACAAGAATATCATAAGAAATATAATTTAAATGCCTTGCTGAAATTTAAATACTCCAGCTACACCATTTGCCTGATTTACCGGTCTATAAAATCCTGACTTTCTGCCACTTAAGTTTGCTACTATTTTCTTGTATTTTCAACACCAAAGAACTGGTCTATGTAGACATTAGCATTTCAGTTCTGTCACCTAACACTACACAATTTCAAAAAAAGTCATCAGACTTCATGCAACAAGCTTAATCTCTCCTCAGACACCCATGGAGAATTCAGCAGCTGATTGTGGACTCATATGTGTGACAGTGGTGACAAAATGTTATTTTATCCAAACAGTTTGAAAAGATAGCCTCCCTTCTACACTTTGATACCCTCCATTCCCCTCATAATCATGTGGAAAGTGAGCAAGACTGAAGAGAATGACATTCTGCTACTCCATGTAGTCAGTGATCATTTACCTTTTTAAAATAATTAAATCCCTTGAGTTCACACATTTTTTCGGTTGTGCTCCACAGTGGCCTAAATTCTATTTTTACTTGGATTTTTCAGTTTCTTTCACTTTTAAAAAATCAAATTTATTGAGGTGTGATCTGTATGCAACATAAAACACACCCAATTTTTATGGAGCGTTTGAGTCTTAAATATATACACTTGTGTAATGAACAGCCATAATCAAGATGAAGAATAATCATCACTCCTATTTCTTCATATGTATCCGTAATTAATAACAGCCCCTTCAGGCAGCCATTAATGATTTCCTTTTCTAGAATTTTATATGAACAAAATCATGACTTCTTTTGCTCATCATGATTCTGAGATTCATTCATGGTTAGCGTGCAATATTATAGTGTATGAATATACCACAACTTATTTATATACCTGAGTAATTGTTAGTTTTTGGTAATTGGGAATAAGATACTAGAAACATTCACGTCCAAGTCTTTGCTGTTAATTTAGGTTTTCATTTCTTTTGGGTACACAAGTAGGATTAGAATGGCTCAC